AAAAAAAACGAAAAGTAACATCTGACCTTAACTGCTAAACTGTTCACTTACTATTACTGTTATTATTACTACTATTATCACTCTTACCATTTATTACTGCTATCGCTAAGACTGCTGTTCTTCTACTATCCGCTGTTTTACCGTTGTTAAAGCTGTGGTTATTGGTGATGGTGATGGTTCTTCTCTTAAATTCTTTTTTTTTCGCTTTCACTAAAAACAATCTTAAGAGAAAACAATAAAAAAAATTCAATTCAAACACTGAAGAAAATGTTGAGCAAAAGCAGTAGGAGCAAAAAAAAAAAAAGCAAAGCAAAAAAAAAAAAGAAGACAATGAACATGAAATCAAATGCTTCCCTCTTTTTTCTGTCATATCAACTAATTTCCTTCATTTTTCTTTCTTCTTCTTCTCCTTTTTTTTCCGTTTCTAAAATAAGCCTATGTTTTTCTGTGCTGTTTATTTTTCCTACCTTTCTTTCAAAATCAAATTTGCGCTATAATTTGCAGAATATGAAGATATTTGATGACTATTTTAACGGTAAACCAAAAGACAAAAAGATACAATAATAAATACAAAGTTATTGGAAAAGAAAATAAGTCTAAAATTAATGCAACTAAAACTGTTTCTTACTGCTAATAGTAGCTGCTTTTTTTTTTCTAGTTTTAATCTCTTCTGTTTCCGTTGTTTTGCTTTTTCATTCACAGTGATAATATACAGTGAACATCAAACACTATGAACACATCAAATTGAACAGAATCAACTGTGAATTTGGGAAGAGTGAGAGAAGGAGAAGAAGAAAAAAGAGAATTAACGAATGAAACTTCAAAAAAAAAAAAAATTAAAATTAAAAACACTTCATGTGCAATTCTAGAAAGACAAACCATCAATGCAGAATTTTTTTCAACCTTATTTTCATGACTGGAAACACATTCAGATATTCATACACGCGTAGACACACATATCCACACACACAAAGTCACACACACGCACTCACACCCACAAACACACATACACACTCACACAGACACATATAATATTTGTTCGACGGTATTCCTCTTTCTTCTGGTCACAAAAATATTCCTAAATTCTGCGTCAACGGTATTTCCTATTAGTCGATCTTCTTCTTTTCTGCGATCACTGAAACAAAAAAACAAAAAGAAATAGATAAAAGTTGAAATGAAGAAAAAAAAAAGAAACAAAAGAGAGTAATGCGCCGTTTGACCTTTTAAAGCTTTGGAAACCACTAAACCCAAAACCCTATCAGTTTCTAGAAGCCGCTTGTATGTACTCTGAACTTATCCATTGCCTCAAACAGGTTCACATAAAAAAATTTTTGTTCCATTTGTTATATTCCAACAGAAGAACCAGGTTCTTTAAATTCTTATTACAAAAACTTAACCCAAAGTCTGCGTAACAAAAGAGCCATTTGAATCAATGATGGCTCCCAAAAAAGTAGGACCGAGCACAACAAGAAGGTAGCAGGAACCGTAAAGAAGCCAGGGCAACAATGAGAAACATGGATGATGTTTAAATGACTCAAAATTTAAGTTAGCTCTTAAAATTTCACTAATTTTTGGGAATGCTTTTAAAAATTTTAGTAACAACAAGCCAGTTTAGTTCAAAAACAAGATGCTAAATAATGGTTTATAAACAAGAAACGATCGGGGTACATTTGGCATTTGTATTACTAATGTAGTACTAATCAGGAAGATCTATAAAAACTGTTTGGCTTCCCTTTAATCCCCCTTTTTACCATAAATAAAATTAATTAACCATCAAATCTTCTAAGTAGTTTTTAGTCTCACAACGACAAAAAACAACTACTGCTAACTGTCGTTAAATATTTGCGTGATTTACGCAAATTTCAATACAGGTCGCCCAAACTGGTATCTTTTTTACCACATTACCTTGTTCCTGCTGCTCATGTCCCACTATTAAAGCAACAACTCTACGTTGTCCTACTTCAACATCCTGCTGTCAATCCACGGTAAATTACTGTAGCCATCTCTCCAGGACTAATGTTTCCTAGTCATAAACCACCAGCTTAGGTAACTACTATGTCACTTCAATCCTTCAAATCCTCCACTTCAGCAACTATTCAACGAAAGTATCTCACTAAACATACCAAAAGGTCAGACTTCTTGAAAGCACTATTTTAGCTCAGTAATCTAATCTCCCAGGCTTAGTAAACCCACCCTGCAATCTGCTAAACGTTCATTTATCACAAACTATTACTGCACTGTAAACTTAGCTCCAGTTAGATTACAATCATCAGCTCAAATCAGATTGTATTTTACCCAGATTTGCTCCTTCTTACCTCGGGAAATTCTAGTAAGATAGTCTAATTTACTCAACTTCTAGCACACCAGTGCCGACTACAACCTCAACCGCTGCAATAAATTGGCAGAAAACAACTGTACAGTAAGAAGCATTCATAAATCACTCCAGTTCTGATAAGAAAAAAGAAAACGAAAAACCGAATGGAAGAGGTAAGCAATCTCATTCCTCCAACAATCCTTACCTTCGCCTAAACTGCCGTGTAATTACACTTGAGATACACCCTCCCTAACTTTCAAGAAATACACACCACAGTCCCCAAAATCTGATATCCTCCTCCACCACCCTCCCTCCTAAAAAAAACCAACAAATAGCTAAATCCCCAATACAACTGCAACAAACAGCAAAGCTCTTCTCGGTTTCAAAAAACCACTTTCACCTCCCTGCTGCAAACGGTAAGACCGTAACTGCCCAACACCAAAGTTTGCACACATCGAGGAACGTCAAAACACATAAACGCTTCGAATTAGAACACTCGAAAGGGAGAAGGCATGCGAAATTCGTGAGACCATGTGAAACCAACATGAGAAATTGTTTTAAACTGTTAAGATCTGAAGCAACATTGCAATGCCAATGAAATGAACACTTGTTATAACATAGGCGTGCAGAGTACTCAGCTTCATAACAAGGTCAAAAATTAGGATCACACAAAACCATTTATGTGACCAAAAAGTACTCAACAAAACAGGAACGGTTTAAGAGACGAGTATCAATGAAATGCATAAATCACATACTTATAAAAACCAATATCAGAAATAAATTAATGTGGAAAGATTACATTACAACGCTTCCTTAACAGTGACCAGAGGTAAATTTGCAAAAACATCTTACGGATCTAAAATCTCCGAAAGGCAAACAACCGACTTAAGTCAAATTGATTAAACTGATGCCTACCTCATTCCTTTTTTCGAAGATTTGTAAGACACAATAAAAATAATTTTAAGAAACCCAAGCCAAACAAAATGCAGATGTTAAAACCTGGGATTACGAAAAACTAAAAAACAAATACCTGTTTCTCTGACAACAAATCACACTCACGAAAACAAGCTTGTAATATAAACAAGAAGCTTAACTTAGAAAGATTTTCCAACCAAATAAAAAACCCAGAAACTTTTAGCCTCTAAGTTTGTAAAACAAAAATAAAGAACTTCACAGCGACAAACAAACAATGGCTTCCAATTATAACATCCAGTTTAAACAATAATAAAAACTTGCAAAGATTTCATCAGATAAATCCTAAGAATAATCACAAACGCACTCAAGAATTATAACATTGAGTTAGAACAAAAAGAAAAAACAATTATGAAACTATTGGTGAATTTCAAAACACTCCAGAAAACTTCACAATTTTGTTAGGTATATGACCAACAAGTTCACTTGAGCATAAATGATTAAGCAACTCTTGAGGAACTGATACGAAAGGGATAGCAGCCTTAAAACTCAACAGGCAAATAACTTCCGAAATAATTATTTGCATTTACCACCCCTCTCGAACTACATTTCAGATAGCAATTTAGCATGCAAGAATAAAGTACATGCAGGATGGGGTTATTATCAGTTGGTCACGTATTAAAAAACAAAGAACTAAAACAATGGCTCACGTCCCTCAAGTTAACCAATAACATACCAATATTGCTCACAATTCAACATGATACTGCATTGTCCTAGGACCCCTACCTATAGCATGTAAAATTTGTGAAAAATATGGCGCTAACAACCAATAAAAGTACCCAAGCCATACTAAAAATAGGCCAAATATAGTGGTTACTGCTTTTAGTGAAAATATAGGTTTGACTTTTACAGTATCACCATCACGCTCACCGTCAACATAATTTCGTGCGATGAACTTTAGAATTTCGTCCAAAACGATAACAGGGAATGATATCTTCAAGACCGCCATCCACTCTGTGAAATTAAGCGGTGTAATTTGGAAGATCGTCGACAAAATATCGACATAAAGAACCACGAAATGAAGTGACATTGATAATGCAATTGCGGACACAAGCCACATATTCCTCCAAGGTTGCATTACCAACAAAGACTGGTTTTCGGATAAACTGAAAAAAGCAAGAAATGAACCAAAAGAGAAAAAAGTTCAAATTATATATATGTAATTTTGATCTATGCTCACCTGTTAAGAGCATTGGCCATTTCTATAGTAACTAGTACAGAAAGTGCCATTGCATTGGGATGAGTGTCGTCAAATACAGCGCAATCAAGATCAGCGAAATTCTCTGGCTCAATTTCACAACGCATCCAATGGGTCAGTTGGTAATAGCTGATCTGTGGGCCATCTTCATATAGAAGGAACCACCACAATGACGCACTAACAGTAGCAAAGCCAACGTAAGCTGAAAGTGAATTATTGGTGGTAGAATATACTGCCATTGCAAACTTTGTTATAAGTCAAAAACTCAGATTTTATTAAATAAAAGAAACCTCCAACAGCCAAGTATCGGAAGAACAACCATTTTGAAATCAAAGACTCATCAGCAGAGCGAGGAGGACGATCCATAATATCAAGATCAGGAGGATTGAAGCCGAGAGCTGTCGCGGGGAGACCATCAGTGACTAGATTTACCCAAAGAAGTTGAACAGGGATAAGAGCTTCAGGAATGCCCATAGCAGCTACTAAGAAGATAGAAACGACCTAAAAAGAGGCTATTAAAAGTGATGATTACCTATTGTTGCTCTTTTTTTATATAACAACTAACTTCTCCCACGTTCGACGAGATCAAATACCGAATAAACTGCTTCATGTTATTGTAAATAGCTCGCCCTTCTTCAACAGCAGAAACAATTGTCGCAAAGTTGTCGTCCGCTAACACCATTTCAGATGCACTTTTTGCTACAGCAGTACCAGAACCCATTGCAATACCTGAAATAGTTCAACTTGCTATTACCTTGTTAAAAACAAAAAATGCAGATTGAGAGCAATTTTTACCAATTTCGGCTTTCTTTAGCGCAGGAGCATCGTTGACACCATCACCAGTCATTGCAGTAATCTCACCATGAGACTGCAAATACTCAACGATTTTCGATTTATGAGTAGGCTCAACACGCGCAAAAAGTTTTGCTCGTCTACAGGCATCACTCTGCTGTTCAGGTGGAAGATCATCAAACTCGCGTCCAGTGTATGCCTTTCCTTTAACACTAACAATAAATAAAAAAACTCTTCAGACTAATAGAAACAAAAAATCAGATTTATATAATAACCTGTCGTGTCCTCTTCTTCAGAGAAGAGTCCAATACGACGACCGATTGCTTCTGCAGTATTCTTGTTATCACCAGTAATCATAATAACACGGATTCCTGCTTCACGACACTCTTTTATCGAATTCAAAACTTCAGTTCGAGGAGGATCGAGCATACCAACCACTCCGACAAAAGTTATGTCTCGTTCGTATTTTATGAACGATGAGGAGTCCTCAAGGTTCATCCTGCAAAGGAAAAAAAAAATTAAGAAGACCATCAAACAAATGTATTTTGCAACTAGAAATAAAGGATTACGATGATCGTTGTGGAGGGCTGTCAATCGTTCCAAGTGCAAGGCATCGTAAAGTATCCCTTCCAGTTCCGTACTGCACACACTGGCTTACTATACGTTGTGCCATTTTCGGTGTCATTGGTACCCTTTGTCCATTGACACGGACGTGAGTGCAACGGTTTAATACACCTACAAATTATGAGTTACGAACTCATACCATGTTCTACTACAGTTTCAGTCCTAGCTTATTCCCTTACTATTTATTAAACAAGAATGGTAGTGTCATGGTCCGCAAATCTCCATATATCACAGAAAAAATTTCAATCCAAACTTTGAAATTGCATAATATAAAGAAACTTTTGATGTTTCTTTCTAGCAAAAAATTCACAGAATCTCGTCATTAATCTAAATTATGCAAAAGTGCCACACTTCTTATCTCACAATGTGGAAATTCAAAAAGAATGAAGACGAATCAGAGAACTATGCACAACTGTCATATTACTTCTGCACACATCAAACAAAGTAGTAATTTGTAGTAAAAATTGATAAAAACAGAACGGTTATAAAAGATTTAAAGTTTTAAATAAAGTGGGAATTTACGGTTGTCAAGCATAAATCTTTCTGACACGCATGTGCAAAGTCCATTTTTTTTGCGATAAGCAAATTAAATAAAACAATAAAACAACACTTTTCCTCAAAAGAGTCAATAAAACAGTGGCACAAGAATGCTTAGAAAGTGTCGTAAAATGAATACTATTGTGCTTAGACCTAAAGAAAAATAAATATAATTTCTAAACAACCAGGTAAAATAAATGTATGTTCGATAATTTGGAAGATTGTAAAATGAGCAAAAAATCAAACCCTCTGGTGCTCCTTTAACGAACATTTTTGGAGAATTTCCACCTGATGAAGGTACACAGTAAACACTCATACTCTTCCTATCACGCGAAAATTCCAAAGTGAATTCTTTTTTCCATTTCTGTTGAATTACCCTGTTGCAAACATTTCCAAGATCGCGTGGCGATAAGCCTGTCTTATTAGTGTTATACACATTCATCTTTTCAGCGAGAACAACCAATGCTGTTTCTGTTGCTTCACCAACTTTTTCATACACCCTTTTCGTCTAGAATAAACACATGTTAAATATATTCACAATTTAATGAATTTAAAGAACAAAAAAATGAAATATTAAGCTGGAATATTTCCCACTTCGTTGTAATCTACAGCAGAATCGTTGCAAAGCGAACAAATTGTTGCAACTTCACAAAGAGCTTCATATTCTTCGCTGGCACAATTTACATGTCGTCCGTGATGATATACCTAAAATAGAAAAACAATTTACATATTGATCGTTTGACTAAAACGTTTGAGAAAGAAAAAAAATGTTGAAGAAAAATATTCGAAAGCACCTGTCCTGACGGTTCATAGGTTGAGCCGGTAATTGTGAATTCATTAAACTGGATGTCATCGTCCCCAAGAAGTTTGTCAGCAACAAACATTTTTGAGACGCTCATCTGATTAGTAGTCAGCGTACCAGTTTTATCTGAGCAAATCACAGAAGTGCATCCAAGAGTTTCAACGGAAGGAAGGGAACGAACAATTGCGTTTTTCTTGGCCATACGTCGAGTGCCAAGAGCAAGACAGGTGGTAATAACTGCTGGTAAACCTGAAATATTAAAGGTACTTTTTACTGCGCAAATTTTTGTTACAGTTTGATTAAATAACTAAACTTCAAGGAAACTTCCAAACAAAAAATAACCTTCAGGGATAGCTGCGACAGCCAAAGCTACAGCAATCTTGAAGTAATAAATTGCCCCTTTCACCCAGGAACCACCGTGAGCTGGGTCGTTGAAATGGCCTATATTGATTGCCCAAACACAAACGCATATGATGGAAATAACCTTAAATGTTAGACAAGGAAAAACATAACCATCCGATCCTTAACAATAAGACACTAAAATAAATGAGTACATGCATAAAAATTACAATGAAATTAAAGAAATCTAAATACCTTTGACAACTGTTCACCAAATTCATCAAGTTTTTGCTCCAGAGGAGTACGATCAGACTCAGTTTCTGCCATTTCGGTACGGATTTTTCCAATTTCGGTATTCAATCCCGTCCCAAAAACAATACCTTTAGCCTAAAATTATAGACTTGTAACGTTCCTTGAAAAGGACCCGAAGTTCATTCGTTCAACCAAATAATTCTTTTACCGAACCTTTCCTGAAGCAACATTAGTGCCAGAAAACAAACAGTTCCGTTTATCTTGATTAACGGCCCTTGGATCCGGAATAACATCAACATGCTTTATAACTGATACTGATTCTCCAGTCAAAATTGACTGGTCAACTCTGATTGTGGTTGAATGAATCTTGATTAGCCTCAAATCCGCGGGAATTTTATCACCGACTGAAAAACAAATTTTATTATCTTCAGTTGTTTCTTTCTCAATTCTATTTAAGTTCAATTTCATTTTTTTTTCTTAACAGAAATATCTTCAATAATGTTTCCATTCTCTTTCGGTGCCATTAACAACTGTCCCACATCATAAAGATAAACAAATAAATAGGAAATAATTTACTGTAAGGGACACACAAGAAGAGCTCGAAAGCATTAAGAATTTCACTAACCGGACACTTCAACAAGATCTCCAGGAACTAGTTCGTTAGCACGAATCATTTGAATACCAGTTTTGCCATCTCTAATAACTTTGGCCATTTCAGGCTCATACTCCTTTAAAGCTTCGATTGCACTTTCAGCATTCCTCTCCTGAATTCTCAAATGACGTTCAGAATTATGCCTGTGACAATTTCGAAAGGCGCATCAAAAATTGGAAAGTCAGGTCATACCTGCCAAACACCGACTGTGGCATTCGCGATCAAGATCAGCAATATAACAAAGGGCTCAACAAATGCTGTTACTGCAGAAGTTTGGTCGTCATGTTCTTCAAATAACGCTAATACCTGAAATCACTTGACTCCGTTAATTACTGTAACTACTTTTACTATTGGCTAACATCTCATAATCACAAAGATGTAACGAATCTATGTAGAACTTACAAAAGAAATGATGGCTGCTAATAACAATATTTTAACCAAAAGATCGTCAAACTGTTCCAGTATCAATTCCCATAGCTTCCTACCCTCTTCCGTGGGTAACTCTAAAAGAATTGACTAAACTGCTTCGAAAAATTATGCCAGAAATAAAAAAACATGTAAATCACGATTTTAAGAAAGTAATTTGCCTCAAACACCTTCCTCTGCTTATATTATAATTATGAAGGAAATACCATAAACAGCTAATTAAACTATCATAAAATAAAATTGGTACCGTTGGGGCCGTATTTTTCACGATTAGCTATGACTTGCTCCTCGGTAAGTCCATATGGTCCTACCTGGAAGTATTTCATAACCTCTTCGGCCGTCTTTGTGTGAACGCCTTCCATGTCGCCCAAATTCAAGAGAGCTGTATACTCTGAAAAGACATTCATGAGTTCAAAACGGGTAACAAATCTAAATAGTCGCGTAATATGCACGATTAAAAGCAACAAGTTTCATACCAAACGTTGACATTATTTACATAAAAAAGGGAACGCAATGGCAAATACTGACAACTGCAGAATACTGACAATGCATCAAAAAATTTTCAGAATTAAAGTTTCAGTACCCAAATAGATAAACATATACTCTTAAGATCTACTCTATAACATGTTATAAAAATGACGAGATGTAAAAACAAAGATGCGGTGGTTATTACGCCGTTATATGCACAAAAATGTGGCAGCAAAAAAAGTAAGAAAAGAACTTCTAGAACAATAGATGGAAAAAGACCTATTAGTGTTACTAATTCTGAGTGAATAAATCCCTCAGTAGCAAAAAACATAAGAGTAAGCTAAATCTGCATCTGATTTTCTCCTCAATTTCCAAATTCGCACTTCAGCCACTCATAAACCACATCTAAAATAGACATTTAAAATAAAAGTAATGACCTCTTTGACTTCGCAGACTCAGTTTTACTCTCTCCAACAAAAAAAATGGAAAAAATGCGTACTATGTTAATTTAACTCACAAGTAACTACGCAATCCAGCAAACATCTAAAAAAAGAAACTTCCATTACAAAATATAAAAAAAATGTATTGCAAAAGAAGAGGAGTTTACGAGGAGTGTCGTTAAACACCTCAATGACCATAACAACCACTCATCAATCAGTTTTTAAAAGATAACATATTAAACGTACCAAGATGAGTAAGGCAACTGGAAACAAAAATGAAAACTGTATGGAACTTTGTAAGTTGTGAAAAATCGAATTCAAAAACAATATAAGCAGTGGCTGATCGACAATCTAGGCACCTGCTGGTTGCAACACTTTGTAGAACTTTTTATTCTGAGATCTAAAAAGCACGTAATAAACCGAAATATACGAAGCTCTAACGAGGAAGAACGTAAAGAAAATTACAACAAGTCCTCTCCGTGAAGAAAACCCTCCACTACACGGTTTATTTTTTCCTAATAGTATAAAGATATGAACCGACTAAAACTAAAACAAATGTTTTTATAAGGAAATGAATTACTTAAATAAAATCCTGGCCTAAAAATGCAATAACAAACAAGACAGTAGATACTTCACACATAAACTGCGTTAAAAAAAAAACTATTACCTGCCACTTTGTTGCTGAAAAAGATTTTGTATTAGCATCTAAAAGTATTGTTCGATACTTAGGCAGAGCAAAAATAAACAAAAAATTTATATGCTTTATTTATTCCTCCTAAGCGGTGAGCCAAAAAAGAAAAAGACAGAACAGTCAAAATAAATTAGTTAAAATGAATTACATAATATAGATAAGAACCAATTTTCAAGCACTGTCATATTTTTTAAAACATCACACAAACATTGTTGCCTCCACAAACAAATTGCTTGTCACCTATCTGAAATGAGCACTAAACAATGGTACACCATTTTCAAGCCAGACAATTTCCTCTACTAAACCAATTATGGCGTATTCAGTGTGCTTTATTCTACAACTGACGTAATACAGTTGGACTGATCTTTTAGCATTACAGTTATAAAACGTGTCATAATTCTAAGAAACTTTCCATTTGAAAACTTCTGAAAATTTTCTAACGAAATCGATACCATTCACTGAATTGACGTAATACACACTTATATACATACACAAACATACCAAGTACATCTAACAATAGCATTAATTCCATTACACCTATTACGGATGATTGCTATTCAAAAAAAGGTCAGCGGCTTAAGTCTCACAAAATAATACAAAAAAGTTAAACTTCATTCTAAAAAAAACACATATAAGGCTCAATGCCAAAACAATTTTTTTTTTTTGTAGAACCAATTTTTATGGAAAAGAACCCGTCTCCCACAGAGAGCACAAGGAAGAACAGTTAAAAACGACAAGCGCAAATATATATGTGTATGCGTATACACGTATATCACAGACCCATATCGAACACTTCTCATTTTACAGCGATAATTTTGATCAATATATATGGGGGATGGAAATGACATCAAAACTCTTCCAGGTTTTACCTTTCTGCACTGTTCTTCGTGAAATTTTTTGCTATTCCTTTCCAAATCATTATTTACTACAATAATCAAAAAGCAATAAAACAATTAAAATATCTTTTTAAAAAAAATCCCTCTTTTACTTCAAATAGAACTTCCTTACCATAACTAAACAACTAAAAACCTTACTCACTGTAGAAGTAGAAAATGACAACCAATCCACCTCAAACATCCCATGTTTCCATAAACCCCGTTTCTTTGCATAACACCAACATCCAGAAACTACAATACACTACCCACAACACAATATTCAAACTCATTCAGATCACACCAAAAAGAAAAAAAAAAAACTAGAAGCAGCCTCAACTTGAAGTCACAATAAAATCAAAACCCGCTTAGAATTCATTGAAAGATATAATACTATCCTTATTTGACAGTCAAACCCGATACAAATTACAATACAAGAGGCTAACGTCAACCAAAAAAAAATTAGCAGCAAAATAAAAATCCCATTTGATCCTCTTCCTTAGCATTTCCGTCCACATTACCGAAAACTACTAACATTCAACAGCTGTTGACACTAAATATCGAATAGACGATCAACAATTAAACCCTACCGAGCTAAGAAAATTGCTTCAAATAAACAACCACCACAACCTAAATGCTTTCCGCTAAAAAACTAATACTGTTTATGACGATTCTTTTTTTCTGCAACACTTCCGATGCTGAACGACAGAACCTTATCCAGTGATTGGTAAAACACTATCTACAGACATATCACCTGTTCGTCGCCGAACTTGGACATTATTTCTAGTTGGGAACAGAAGTCGCAATTTTTTTAGTGTTCACTACCTTCACTAGATGCTGCCTATGGAAGATACTTCTAAAGACTCTGCAATACAAATAACAACTCCCGCTACAAAATTCTCTAACCTACTTCAAAGTGATTAATTGAAGTAACAAAAGGTCACAATGAGGGCAAAATAACAAAGGTCAATATATCCCAACATGTATCACTTCTCCTATCAAAGAACAGCCTGTATGAAAAATTCGTTCTGCTAAACATCCATTACTACTGATACGCATCAGATGAAGGCTCAACTTACTGAACATACGCTGACCAGTAATGCAGGAAAATTCGTCTGAATGCAGTTAAGAAATCATCGCTTTAAAAAAAAAACTAAAGTTGAAAAAGAACCTCAAATTCAGTTAAAGAGAGTAAAACTGAAGAAATTATTAGGTAGAATCTGATATAATGAACATCAAATTCTATTCTTATCACAAAGAGTAACCTTCCTAAAGTGAAAAGAACTATTGTAAAAAAAGCGGGTCATTATTACTACACTGTAACAAAGGTGATAAAATCCACCTTGTAAAAGTACTAATCGAACTGTATACACCAAGCAGTAAATTTTAAAACAGTAACAATTCCTGTGCAGATAACAGAATTATAGCCTCATTCTCAGCCGTTTTAGTTTTATTTTTATTTTACTTATTTTCATTTTTTCAAAAAACTATTACTCATGACCAAATACGTAAAACAGCCGAAGATTACATTAAAACAAGTTTTTGCTTCGTTGAAGTACAAAATTTTAACAAAAAACGTCATATCAGAAGTACTAACGATTAAACCTAAATGTAACAAAACAGGAAAAGGTAACCATATGTGACAAAAAAGTGCTAAACTCGAACAAAAAAATATCAATACTTAAAACAATACCAACATCGTACTCTCTCAATAAGTAAAATGAAGTACTATTCACCAATACAGTGTCTACAATTGCAATAAATATACTTAGCAGTATAATAACTAAATAAAATAAAGCAAAATTGTTCAAAATCAAAAAACCTTTCATAACACATAAACGACAATATTGCCACTGACCACCATAAAAAATTTTTCAACTATTTCATTGAAAAACTTCTATAAAACTTCACCGTTTTCAAGCCACTCTCTAATCCATACCGATAGAAAGCAAAACAGGGGGAGAAGAACAGTTAGCACGAGACAATTGTATATACTAACATCTGCAGAGTGATTAAAGCTTGAAAACATGCCACCAAATATATTACCTAACAACATTCGTGAATGTAAATTTATGGCAAATTATATCTATACAAAAAAGAAAAAAAATAATTCAATAAACATAGATGCTAATGAAACTGAAACAGAAAAAGTGCTGTGCTGTCAGGAGTTTACTTCTACCAATCAAAAAACTACATTCTGCAATGATACATAGAGAAAAATACTGCAAAAACAAAAAGTTTAAGTAGGCAGAAGAATAACAAAAAACAGGCAACATCAAAAATATGAAAAAAAATCAAAGAAATAAAACCAAACTGAGCAACGAACAGTCCTTATTTGAAATAAAATAGTTTAACTCAAAAAAGGGCCCAGCACATACATTTTTAAAATGTTTGTTAAAGGCCTCCCAGGCCAACTCTTCTGGTCAGAAAATTGAAGGAAACAACAGTACTTCAATTAACATCAGTGAAAAAAGGAAGTCAATCCCGCAATTTCTAACTCAAAACTACAATATAAAGAAAAAAATATAGAACAACTTATGAGAAAATTCTAAGAAACCGAATTACGATGCCGGGAATTCAGCCGGCTATAGCTCATCAAACCAAATTATGTTTGAAACCAAAAATTTAAATCCCAATTTCACGGGACAGGGCAGAAATTAAGCTTTAAACGACACCGCACTACACAAGTGCTCTCACACGAAAGCTCTGAATATTGTCACTCAGTCCTGCATTACCAACTCTCTTTATTCAAATGATCTAAAAAATAAAGTGATAAAAAAGCAGCCTAATTAAAAGAATAGCAGAAAACATTTCTTGCCCACCAAAGTTGCACAAAACAACTAATGCTTTCGTTGTCTAGTATTTGTAGTGCAAATGATAAAATAAACATA